CCGGAAGCGGCGGGTTGAAGGCGACCGCGGATGGCGGGGCGGAAGCCTTCAGGACACCGAGAGGCAACGTGACCAGCACAGCATCCGCTTTGTACACCGTGTGATTCGTGTGGGGGCTGCGAGACGGTGCGGCCCACACTTCCACGCCGTTCACCCCGTACCGAACCGCTCTAGCTGCCGTGTTTAACCGGATGTCCAGGCCCTCCGATAGAGCAACAGGTACGCACGAGTAGCCGTTGCGAACTGAAACATAATCGGTCAAATTTGTTAAACTCGTCGAACTTCGATTATCATCTATAGCACCCTTCAAGCAATTTTCAATTGCATACAGTGTTTTAATTTTTACCAAATATATCTTGTTACATTTATTTTACATAGATCCGTGTAATTAATGTGAGAATTTTTTATTGGGAAAGTGAATTCTTAATAATACACATGATAGATCAGTATAGAAGCTTAACCCTTTGCGCTCGAGAGGTGACTCTCAGTCACCATTCTATTTAATACAATAATTTAAAATAAGCATTTTTTAACTGATTCTATAATATGACACGTGTGATGTAGGTATAAACATAGTGAAACAAACAATAGTGGAAATTATTAGTAGAGAAATAGTAACCTCAAAAGAATTCATTTAATTTTTTAACTTAAGTTTACAAGTTGCTGTGTGCAAACAGTCAAATTACGTTCGAGCGCAAAGGGTTAAGTGTCAGCCATATATGTGGCAGTCAAGATAGCTAAACATGGTCATATGTAATCTACTTATGTATCTCTACAAGTGTAAGCAGCCTAAATAAATATGCGACTCTGAACAACTTATAGACATCACTGATCATGTCTGCACTAATTTGCAAATATTTAAAGTTTTTAACTCGAAGTCAGAGATACCCCTAAATAAATATACGACTCTGAACAACTTATAGACATCACTGAGCGTCATCTGCACTAATTTGCAAATATTTAAAGTTTTTAACTCGGAGTCAGAGATAGCCCAAATTGACAAGTTATTAATGACACCCGTAAAAAAAGTGCGTCGCTTAAAAACGACTGCCGATAAGCACTGATCTCGATGTTATCGACATTTGGCCAGCGATGAAATTTGCACAAACGAGTCGAGCAACGAATTTTGGCCGCGATTAAGGATCGACCATCATCAACGCCAATCACGAAACGATCAAAGACATCGAGGTATTTCCAGCGGGAGTCAGTTTAACGAATGAACCGTGAATCTGACGCGAAGGTGGGTCCTTCGCTGGATCGAAATTCTGCGAGACCGATGTCACCGGATGCGATAAAGGCTCCATTACCGTTTAATTGGATATTTCGCATTAGCGAGGCCAAATCGGGACACCTGACGCGGCCCTAAATTCTCGTAAGCACACTCGAACCCCATAACATCGGCTGCGCATGTACTAATAATGATACACAGGCGTCTCCACTTAGGGGGGTTAATTATGTTGATGGCCGGCAGCGTGCTAACAAGCGCTCCGTCTCTCTCGCTCTCGACCAGTGCCCTATCGGTGTGTGCCATTTCAAAGATTTAAATTTACGCAACCGCCGGAAGGTACGTCGCGGTAATTTGAATTATCGCCAGCGATAATTCGATTACGAGTACGATCGAACTCCTCCGTAACCTTTCGGACCGGTTAACTTGGCAAAAGCACCGCGACAGATCTTACGATTTCATTTGTACGATTACCTACAATTAGGGTTAAAATTATGGGTCGATATCTTTGAAATAAAAGTACGAATGAAAAATGGAAGAATGAATGAGCGTGGCATCATTCACGTGATTCGCGATCACGGAATAAGACGCCAGGAGAATGGCAGTTTCACGAAGGAGAAACTCGGTTCTCCAAGCGGTTCGACCTGTTCCTCCTAGAAATTTATCGTCGCGTCGAAACGACAACCGCCTCCTCTTCGTTTACGTTAATTCGAGCGATTTAAATTCGACGTCAAGGCGGTTTCTCGAGGCTGTTTTTCGGGACCCGGCCGAGACGAGGAGTCGATCGAACGGAAAAAGGACAGGTCGCGGGGACGCTCTCGATCCACGCACGATTATTTGCGACGATACGCTCGTACGCTTGGATTCGTTATTACTTTAATTGGAATCCATTTGACCGGCGGCTACGCTGTGGACTCGCTCGTGTCTGGCGTCGATTACAGAAACCCTTTCTAATAAGCGAGGGAATATTCAACAGCCAGTCAAGGGAACGATCCGCTGCTACCAAAATTATGGTAAGTCGATCCTGCTTCTCCCTTCGAATACGCTGTTCCCTCGTACGACCGACAATTTCTGTCTTTCTCGTTCGGGAATGGGAAATTAATTCCTCGCAATGAGGAGGCAGTCGGTTTCGAATCGATGGAAATTGTTCGCGGGAGAATATCAACTGATCCGGTTTCGCTTCTTGTCAGTTATCGTTTCCTCTTTGTTAACAACCTTTTTTTTATTATCGTATTTGTATTCGGGCTTTCGACACTGCTCGTTCACGTGCATTTTTTAGCTTTTGTTACTGGTATCACTGCCGTATTTGTACTACTTGATATACAGCCCTTTGTATTCGTGTTTTTATATTGTCTGATGTTTGAAATAAAAACCATTCAACCATTTGTCTGTGAATAATTAACAAGTTTTTGAAAATTTGTTTGAAAAACAAATGTCAAAAAGCTGTCTCTTAAGAGCACAATTTTTTACTTGAAGTTAATATTAAGACTCAACGACCTTTCACACTGTGACCTTGCATGACCTTGAACTCACAAATTGTTTTCATAAAAACAACCAAATTTCTGTATCCAAATCCACCAACAAGTATTAAAAAAGACCATACAAAACAATTTTACCGTACAATATAATTTTAAAAATACATTCATCCTTCTATTACATCCATTCATCGTCTATCACATCCTCGAATGATGCGTAATTAACGCATCAAATGTAAACGCGTTAATTCTTCAGACCTTACCGATTTACATTTGAAAAATCGTTTCGCCTCCCGTTACTATGTTCCGCGATTTCTATCATGGTTCTCCAAACAAACATCGAAACGGAGGAACGCGTGCACCTGTATTATTGTTTCGTCGTTGCAAACACCAAATGTCAGGTTCAATGTTTGCTTTCAGAAGCAAACCAGCGTGAACCAGCGAGCTATTGTCCGCCGTCAGAGAATCAGACTTAAAATCTGGAAAACGAAAAACAACCGGAACACTCCATTCAACTCGTTTTTCGCTTATTGTTCCTACGCTTCTCGTCTCGAACGGCCGGACTGAATTTTTCACCGCGTTCGCGCAACCTCCACTCTCGCGGAATAAAAAATTCGCCAGATGCATTTCCGTTCTGTGCGATGCAACCCCTGTATCAATTGAATAAGATACGCGATCGCTTTCCCGTTTCCTGCGGCTGTTTCGAGAATGCAACATTAATTTCATTAGGAGGTTGTCAAGTAAGGGATATGTCTGGTGCATAGCCTTGCTATTAGATGGTTCAAATTTTGCGTTTCTTATTTTGTCTGTAACTAAACTTGTTGTTAGAGAAAGAAGAGCAAGGATGAAAACCATGTTGTTTTTTTAAAGACAGACTTACTATAGACAAAGCTGTAGATGCAAAATTTTAATGAGCTACTGACAATGTTACTAGCAAAAGTTACTGTCATAGTGTAGACCTTGGACTCGACAAGTAAAAGACTATCTACACTATGTTTGGTACATAACCTTGCTATTAGATGATTCAAATTTTGCGTTTCTTATTTTGTCTGTAACTAAACTTGTTGTTGGAAAAAGAAGAGGAAAGATGGAAACCATTTTGTTTTTTCAAAGACAGACTTGCTACAGACAAAGTCGCAGATGCAAAATTTTAATGATCTACTGACAATGCTATTAGCAACAGTTACTGTTATAGTGTAAACCTTGGACTCGTCAATTAAAAGACTGTCTACACTATGTTTGGTACATAGCCTTGCTATTAGATGGTTCAAATTTTGCGTTTCTTATTTTGTCTGTAACTAAACTTGTTGTTGGAAAAAGAAGAGGAAAGATGGAAACCATTTTGTTTTTTCAAAGACAGACTTGCTACAGACAAAGTCGCAGATGCAAAATTTTAATGATCTACTGACAATGCTATTAGCAACAGTTACTGTTATAGTGTAAACCTTGGACTCGTCAATTAAAAGACTGTCTACACTATGTTTGGTACATAGCCTTGCTATTAGATGATTCAAATTTTGCGTTTCTTATTTTGTCTGTAACTAAACTTGTTGTTGGAAAAAGAAGAGGAAAGATGGAAACCATTTTGTTTTTTCAAAGACAGTCTTGCTACAGACAAAGTGGCAGATGCAACATTTCGACGAGCTACTGACAATGTTACTAGCAAAAGTTACTGTCATAGTGTAACCTTGAACTCGTCAAGTAAAAGACTGTCTACGCTATGTTTGGTACATAGCCTCGCTATTATATATTGAATTTTTTGCATTTCTTATTTTACCTATACTAAATATGTCATTAGAGAAAAACGACCAGCAAGGACGGAAACCATTTTGTCTTTTCAAAGACAGACCTGCTGCAGACAAAGCTAAAAATGTAGAATATCGATTACCTACTGATAATGTTACTACCTATAGTTACTGTCACAACACAAACCCTGGACTCGGCAAATAAAGGAGGTTCTATGAAAAGTACAAGAGGGAGAACACCCCTGTTAGAAAAATGGAAATTCGTCGATGTCTTTCAACAGTCGAACACGTCTTTTGCCAACAGACTCCCCCGTCCTAAGGGAAGTTTCTACAAGTCCAAGTGTCCTAAACAACCTTGCTAACAGGGGTGTCATCTACAACGAACCACCGTCGAAGTTTCTCATACTGGTGAAAAAACCTTAGAATATTTTGAAACTTGCGTAAGGTTTATGCAAAAATGAAAGAACTTCTCACAGTTTTTATTTTAACTATTACAATGGGTAAATATACGAACAAAAATCCGTACTCCGTTTATCGACACGCTCGCCGACTTTATTACTTTCTTTCGTACGCACGCTCGTTTCTTCTAAATTTGATAACTTCGACTGTTCCTCGCTCACATTCCTCACTCTGTTTATATATTATTATCCTACCACCTATCCTATTTAGTACAATTTCAGTACCGTATAAATCTTACACTTGTGAACCTGCAAAACATTGCTATTTCAATTGCCTTACACCCCCGATTTGTTGCATTACAGGGTAAACCCAACGAGGGCAAATATTTAAAGAAGAATT